GTTCGTCTCTCTCTCTCTCTCTCTCTCTCTCTCTCTCTCTCTCTCTCTCTCTCTCTCTCTCTCTCTCCCGGGAGATCGGCAATGGTTGTCAATCGAATAGAAAGCGTTAAAATTTCCGTCGAGGACCGAAAAACTTGGATATGCGCCAGATGAACCACTGTCTGCATGTGTAGGTTCGGTTCACAACCGACGACGTACCTTTATTCAATTTGCAATTCACCCGTGACCGTCCACGATATTTGAAAAAGGTCTACTGTTTCGTTCGAATGGATCTACGCCAAATGTTTGTAGCTGATCAGAATAGGTAGCTACGCGTAGATATCAATATCCGTGGATCATCTTTGATATTTCGTAGAAGCTATAACAAGTAAGAGATTTCTGATTAAGAACGAAAATGGGGATAAAGATATTTCATCTTTCGAAAGAACTTTCTTTCTTTCGATTCATCCTAATCCCATTGCGATACGATAAAAACGAAATATATTGCGTTAAATTTTTCCAATTATCGATCTTTTAATAAATCGTTGTTCCAATTTCATCATGGATATATTATTCGAGGCCGAAATTCAAGTCATTTTGCGAGCGTACTAGTGGTCTCGAATTCCGTGTGTGCCATTAAACATCGTAGTAAATGATCTCCCGTGAGAGATATTCTCAAAGTTTCGACGCAATCGCGTGAAAATTATCTTTCACGATGTAAGGAAAAGGTAATGATACGTAAGTACGTTACTCGCTCTGGCCATGCGTCTCTCACTCCTTGATCCCTTGATATCGAGAACGCGGAATAAAGGAAATAGGCAAAGATCGAAATCTCTATCGGCTAGTTTTGAATTTTTAAAATATTTATTATATACGCTTTTTTTTAAAAAAAAGTCGTAACATTTGATTCCCTTTTTTCACGATATTCGCTCATATAGATCAAAAATAAAATACGATAATCATTGTTTTCATTCGTGTCAATCATGCAAGATTCTATGCGCGTCAATCGTATGCGCGTTGATCAAACTATTCATTTTCATTTTCGATTTGGTCTTTCCTTTCACGAGTTCCAATTATCCAATGTTAATTTAATATGAGCAATACCTCGACGAGAGAATCGCGTAACATCTTATCGTTGATCCACCCTAACGAATCATGCGTCAAAGACGTATTCGTCATTTTCATGGATTTCATCGGTAAATCAAAGTCATATTGCATATTAAATTGCATATTTTTACGGATAATTTTATCGCTATAACTTATATCGACGACAACGAGAATCGATCGTTCCAAGTTACAAATCAATCACTTGGACTTTTCGCGTAGAAATCGCGAAATAAGAAGAAATTAAAAATTTGTTCTAAAAACCGACTTTAATATAATAAATAGAAAAAACTGTACCGTTTAATTCTCTTCTCGTTTCATCCCGATATCTCGATCGATTGCCAAATTATAAAGAATCAGTGTCCATACGTTACGCACAGTACGGAGAAAAGCCACGTTTTTCCCTCCAAGTGCTATGTTACTTTTTCACCAGAATCCACCATTTGTCCGAAACTTGGGATATGTCAGTGAGGCGAGATACGAGCAGAATGATGCAACAATGCAATACGAACGAATAAGCAACAAAGACACGGTAAACGTAAATTAAAATAATTTATAATTTCGCAGTTCTAATAGTCGTTCATTCGTTGATCGAAACTTGTATTGTCGAGAAGTACGATAGTCCGAAGTTGTAACGGTTTTAAACTTTTTTTTTTTTTTAATAGAATTTGATCGAATTTGAAAGAAAATTACGCGATAGATGTATCTTTACGAACATCTTATTAATTACACGTCGAAATTGATTTAAAACTTATCTTATCTCTGCTCTGCGAGTTGAATCTTTATTTAATCGATCCTCGAGTTCGGTTATACGTTAATTAATCGAAATGAGTTTAATCGATTTCTAATCTCGTATAATCTCGTATGCGCATTCGTCAATTCTGATAATTAATCAAAATTGACAGTTTTCCGTCAAGTTTTTAGATAGATAGTTCCGAAGCGAAATAAATAAAGAGAGTGGAGATAGAGAGGATGGAGAGCGATGGTTTGTAAAATATTGACATTTTTCGAAGACAGAGCCTTTCCTCCTCCTAAACCTTGGCGACGAAAACACACGCGTACCATTTCCTCTCGTCTCGTCAAAGGACCGTCCTAATTGGCCGTTTACATTCGCGCGTGTAAATTCTACCATTCGACCATGGTTTCTCTCGCTTTTCACCAGACTACGCACACTCTCTTCTAACCCTCTGCTGCCGCCTACCCGTCTACCATTTCTACCTCTCTAGCCTTCGTTTCGGTCAATGTTTATCCTCGCGCAATGGTATACGTAGATATACAGTGCGAGAGTACAGTTTGGGTTGGAATGCCCCCGAGCGGCATCTCGTAAATTCACCGCCTGTACTCCGCGATCGTAAATTAACCATAATATTCATATGTGCTTATCGGCACTGTTAATTACATCGCACATGTTTCCCACTGTTCCGAACTGTAATGCATTATATCGCGTATCCTAGTTGCTAGAATCGTTTCAACGTTTCTTCTTCGCGAAATTCTCAAATTTTCACTGCTAATGACAAATTTAAAGCAATTCCAATATCATATACATATGTATCTATAGATAAAATCGATCTATCTATCTATATAGATATAGTATATATATATATATTTTTTTCTTTTTTTTCTTTTCTTTTTTGAATTCGAAACGACGAATATTTGTTAAATGAAATTCCTTTCGATCGAAAATAGAGCTGAAATCTGTAAAAATTGCACTACTTTTCAAACTACTCATAACTCTTTTTTTTTTTTTTTACTCCTTGAAACCAACTTGAACGTTTTCCGCGTCGTTAATGAACCAAACTTTGATATTGCTTTTTTAAGCAATGCTTACCACCTTCCCGTTAAACTTCATAACGAACTTTGATAATCGTTTTATCTCGTAACTCGTTCTTTAAATATTGTGATATTTTTAAAGAAAATGATATTACAGAGAAAGAAAATTTAACCCGTGATAGATATAATCTTTCAAATTATGTTATTAATTATAATTTTCGATATTCGAAAATTCGATTGCATTATTATTAGAGATACGATTCCTGATGCACGGGATGGAAATATCTCGTAGTCTGATTATTATTGATCGTCGATTATTATTCAGTCGATTAAAATTTAAAATTATCTTTGCAAAGATCAATATATATCATATTTCTTCTTATCCACCATTCATGGCCAAGCAAAACGTTACGTTCTTCCCCCATTCTTCGCATACTCATCTCGACTTTTTTAAATTTTCTTTCACCTAGTAGTCTAGAACATTAGAAAAATAATCTCGCAGCAAGACACAAATTTGTATTCTTTACTTATCAAAGCGGTTGAAATATTTATTTTCTCGCGTATTCGATCGATAAGATAAAAATTGCTTATTCGCGGGTAAAAAAAAAATT